CACCAAGAAAAATATTTTTTTTCCTCCCAACGTGAAATTGGACTTTTCTGCCTCAAAAAACAATTATCTTCTTGTCCAAAATTCAGAGATTTTGGCAACAGGAACTTTACATGCTTCTTATTAAAGGGAAGCTCTCCAAAACGTCCACTGTGAAATACACTGGCAAGATGAGCTGACTGTATGAGCATATATTCCTGCTACCCACAACCTTCCCACATTCATTGTGACTCAGAAATAGCAAAGGAAACCCACATCGGCCCCACTGTCTCCTTTCCAGTTTCTCTTTTCTGGGATAAATGTGTGAATTATGACTCACGCAGCCTTCAAACGAACAATGATTTTTCCCTAACAAAGCAAGTTCTTTGTAGTATGAGTGCACTGCTTTGACTCAAAGAGAGACTGCCAATAAGAGCGTCTGTTTCACACAACTTGTGAAGCCTGAGGAATTTTTACAACCTTACGCAAAGCTCACGTCACAACAAAGCCACAGTCAAAGCAAAGAGTTTGCTTGCAAAAGGTCCCAGGGCCAACCCCAAGGATTTCAAGCCCAGGAGTGTTGAGTGTAGGGTTACAAGTCCACACTCAGACATGGAAACACATTCGGTGATAAGTCAAATAAAATACTTTATTTTATAATACACTTTATTTATATTCCACTCTAGCTCCCCGAGAGGACTCAGAGCGGATTACAGAATACATATATGGCAAACATTCAATGCCATTATGCAATTAACAACAAAGACAGATAGTACCCAGACAAAGGCAAAGGCTTCCCTCTTCTTCATTTCCGGCATCTGGAGGCTGTGCTCAACTCCGGCCATGGGGAGGTGCTGCAGTTCCATTTTCCATGCCGAGGAGCCTGTTGTCTATGTACTCCCTCCCTGATCGAATTGCTGGCATGTCTTCATGGGCACCTTTTACCTCCCAACCAAAGTGGTACCTATTGATCTACTCACATTATTGTTTTCAAACTATTTATTTATCATGTCAGCAGCGAACCAAAAAGTTGTATTGCATTTCAAACAAACAAACAAAACACAAAGTTTGCAGACTTGATATTCTAATAAATGTCCTTTGAGTAGTATCTGGCCACTTGGAATGCCTCTGGTGTTGCTGCAAGAAGGTCCTCCATTGTGCATGTGGCAGGGCTCAGGTTGCATTGCAGTAGGTGGTCCGTGGTTTGCTCTTCTCCACACTCGCATGTCGTGGATTCCACTTTGTAGCCCCATGTCTGACGGTTGGCTCTGCATCTCATGGTGCCAGAGTGCAGTCTGTTCAGCACCTTCCAAGTTGCCCAGTTTTCTGGGTGCTCAAGAGGGAGTCTCTCATTTGGTATCAGCCACTGATTGAGGTTCTGGGTTTGAGCCTGCCACTTTTGGACTCTCGCTTGCTGAGGTGTTCCAGCGAGTGTCTTCGTAGATCTTAGAAAACAATTTCTTGATTTAAGTCATTGGCGTGCTGGCTGATACCCAAACGGGGTGGGCCAGAGATGTCTCTGTCTTGGTCCTTTCACTATTGGTGGCTACTCCCCTAGCAGTTTTCTGCTAGGTAGACAGAAGCTAGGGATGATGGCGAGAGTTCACTCCAACCCACAGCATTGAACTGCCAACCTCCCAGTCAGCAAGATTTCCTGCAGTTTAACCCGCTGTGCCACTGTGTCTGAGAGAGTCACACTCTCTCAGATTCGAAGGAAAACAATGACAACCTTCTCAGAAGAAATGCTTCCAGGGAAACCCTGTGATATGGTTGTTTTAGGGTCGCCTTTGGTCAGGAATGACTTTTTTTCGTGTCAAGAGCAACTTGAGAAACTGCAAGTTGTTTCTGGTGTGAGACAATTGGCCGCCTGTAAGGACGTTGCCCAGGGGATGCCTGGATGATTGATGTTTTATCATCCTTGTGGGAGGCTTCTCCCATGGAACCTGCATGGGGAGCTGGAGCCAACAGAGGGAGCTCATTCACACTCTCCCCAGATTCGCACTTTCAACCTGTCGGTCTTCAGTCCTGCCGGCACAAGGGTTTAACCCATTGTGCTACTGGGGGCTCCATTGGAATGACATGAATGTGCGTAACAGCAAAAAGGAGCAGCAGCAACTGTAAAAGACTTTTGCTTGCTCTCCCACAATTGCAGCCAGAAATGAAAATATTGAGCTAGATAGACCACTAGTCCGATTCTGTCAAAGCTGCCTTCTTTCAAACACTGATCAAGAATCAAGTCGACGGCATGAGCATTTAACCACATGGAAATCAAAGACTGGTCTTACTTACATAAGATTATGGTTCATTGATATTTCTGCGGGCTTGCATATGTATTTATTTTCTTTTGCCACATGAAGATGAAGCACTTTTTCTTGGAAAGATCTCCATACAGATGAAAGACTCAATGGCCCCCTTCTTACTCACTTTTGAAAAGGAACTTAAAACATTTCTATGCTCTCAAGCATATGATTAGAAGGAATAATAATAATAATAATAATAATAATAATAATAACTGTATTGTCGAAGGCTTTCATGGCCGGAATCACTGGGTTGTTGTAGGTTTTTCCGGGCTGTATGGCCATGTTCTAGAGGCATTTTCTCCTGACGTTTCGCCTGCATCTATGGCAAGCATCCTCAGAGGTAGTGAGGTCTGTTGGAAGTAGGAAAATGGGTTTATATATCTGTGGAATGACCAGGGTGGGACAAAGGACTTTTGTCTGCTGGAGCTAGGTGTGAATGTTTCAACTGACCACCTTGATTAGCATTTAATGGCTTGGAAGTGCCTGGGGGGAATCTTTTGTTGAGAGTGATTTGATGTGCCTGATTGTTTACTCTCTGTTGTTTTGCTGTTGTAATTTTTGAGTTTTTTAATACTGGTAGCCAGATTTTGTTCATTTTCATGGTTTCTTCCTTTCTGTTGAAATTGTCCACATGCTTGTCACCAGAGAAGTCAGCCATAGCAGAGCACCTGATGAACCAGCCTGGACACAGCATATTATTTGAGAACACAGAAATGCTGGACCACACCAACAACCACCATGTCAGACTACACAGAGAAGCCATTGAAATCCACAAGCACGTGGACAATTTCAACAGAAAGGAAGAGACCATGAAAATGAACAAAATCTGGCTACCAGTATTAAAAAAACTCAAAAATTACAACAGCAAAACAACAGAGAGTAAACAATCAGGCACATCAAATACTCTCAACAAAAGATTTCCCCCCAGGCACTTCCAAGCCATTAAATGCTAATCAAGGTGGTCAGTTGAAACATTCACACCTAGCTCCAGCAGACAAAAGTCCTTTGTCCCACCCTGGTCATTCCACAGATATATAACCCCATTTTCCTAGTTCCAACAGACCTCACTACCTCTGAGGATGCTTGCCATAGATGCAGGTGAAACGTCAGGAGAGAATGCCTCTAGAACATGGCCATACAGCCCGAAAAACCTACAACAACCCAATAATAATAACTTTATTTTTATACCCTGCCTCCATCTCCCCGAAGGGTCTTGGGGCGGTTTACATGGAGATGAGCCCAATCAACACAGTTAAAATATAACACATTAAAATACACTAAAACAACAGCATAAAACAGAAAAGTCATTGTAACAAAATATAAAAGCAAACATCAACTAAGAACCAATAAACCTGCAATAATAATCCGTTTCTAGTAGGCACCATCTCCGTGACAGCTTATGAAATAATGTGAAATAATATTGATTGTTAGTTGATGTTTGCTTTTATATTTTGTTACAATGTTTTTTTTTCCTTGCAGTGTATTCTCAAGTTGCTTCTGACACAATAAAAAAATATTATTGTTATGTGGTCAAGAATCAAGGCTATGGGTTATTAAGGGAATACGGCATACTCAAGAGAAAAATGTGCTCCTATATACAACTTATGTTTGTTTTGCACACTGGTCCTCACTTGCACTTAAACGAATGCAATGCTCTGTGGCTCTCTTGCACATGTGTCTCTCTTGACAGATGAAGCCAAAGACCACTTCACAAACACAGTTTATGCAGCTCTGTTGGATCATTAAGTTGGATAGAAACTATGCATGTCAATGCAATTTCTACCAGCCAAATATATCCCCATCTTTAGATGATGTTAATATTACTGGACTGATTGGTTCCTGTAAATCCTTACAGATACAAACTGCAGCAAGCAAGAATGACAGCAAACTCACAAATGTGCATATAAAATACAGCAATTTCGTGGGGAGTAAGCCACTTCTCACCTTTTAATATCTTGTTGCTATGCTAACATCCAAACAGTGGCATATGGATACAAAAATTATTTCAGCCACTCTAAAATTATCTACATTTTCCTCTAAACAGACTGTACTTCATGAAGTTCAGCTACGTACACAATCTGCACACACAGGCACATGGTCTCTCCAGTCATGCTGACTATCATAGAATCATAAGAGTTGGAAGAGACTCCAAGAGGCGTCCAGTCCAACCCCATTCTGCCCTACAGGAAAAACACAATCAAAGCACCCTCAACAGATGGACATACAACTTCCAACAGACTCTGAGGCAGAGAGTTCCATTGCTCAAAAAAAAGTGGTTAAGTTCTTCCTAATGTTCAATTGGAATCTCCCCTCCTGTATTTTGAACCTATGGCTCCATTGACTCCTAGCCAGAAGGAAACAAGTCTGCTCTTTCTTTCTTATGGGATCCTTTCAAATATTTAAACACGGCTATCATGTGTTTTCCCAACCTGTTATTATTGCCATTATTATTATTAATATGCAACTTTTTCTCTCTTTACACAGCAAATAATGATCCGGTTGTACACGAACCTGTCTACATATTGTATCTAAAAGCCACTTTGGGGGAGATAAAGTGGGGTATAAATATAAAATAATAATAATAATGCATGGAGAGTCTGCAGGGTTCTCTCCAAATTAGTCATACACACAGTTCTATGGATTGTTCCACCCATAAAGCATATTGATTTGCCCACAGGCTGGGAGAACCCTGCACAGAACTTCCTTCCAAGGAAGACGTCTTACCTGATTATGCCGTACATGACCAGGATGTTGCCCAGCAGCCCCACCACGCAAACCACAGAATACAGGGCAGTGATGGCAATGGCGATGACGATGGAGGTTGAGTTTTTCTGGGGAGATGGACCGGTGGTGTTGGACGGGGCCAGGGAACTGGAGCCGAAGTCCTGCAGGGTGGAGTTGGAGAGGAAACTGGGGTAGAATTCAGCACCAGGGAGGGTGGACAGCTCCATCTTCTGCAGCCAAAGAAGAACCACTCTTTCCTGAGCTCTGCTGTACAGTCCTGCTGGTACTGCAAGATGCCAGACTTTTCCAGCTGTTCCCTGGCAAAATGCTTCCAAATCAAAGCAGAACTTCAAGGAGAGAAAGAGGGATGGATTGGCCAGCAGGATCAAGAAAGGCAAGCACGAGCTTCAGTGCCAGAGCTGAATCTAAGCCTCCTGCATGCTCTCTCTGCTACAAACAGACTCCCTCTGTTGCTGCTCAGCCTTGGAGCAGAACAAACTGTGATTCTGCCCACTCTCTTCAACGATTGTAATTTCTTATTTGAAAATAAGGGGAAGGGGAGGGGGGGATTGACGTCAGGAGCTACGTCGGGGCTGCAGCTTAAAGGGGGTGTGTCCTGTCAACCCCAAATCCCTAAGGATTGGTGTGAGGAAAAATCAGACTTCTCTGAATTACTCTTAACATTCTTTTTTTGGTTACCAATTATTTCTTTAAAATTATTATTTCCAAAGTGTATTCATTATAATATGATGGTTGATATGCAAACTCAGCAATCAATAGTTGTTATTTTACACTTTCCAATAACAGTAAAATACATGTGCTCTATTTGAAAGAAAACTTCCCAACTCTACACCAGGATAGAGCCTTACAATTCTGTTATTATTGTTTTTGTTGTTGTTATTGTAACAACACAGCACACATGCATATTAGTTCCAAGTGTCTGGGATTCATCTCCAAATATTGGACTCTTCCCAAGGGCCTATTATTATTATTATTATTATTATTATTATTATTATTATTATTAGCTTTGTATTGTCGAAGGCTTTCATGGCTGGAATCACTAGGTTCTTGTGGGAGGCATTTCCAACAGACCTCACTACCTCTGAGGATGCTTGCCATAGATACAGGCGAAACATCAGGAGAAATGCCTCTAGAACTTGGCCCTATAGCCCGAAAAAACCCACAAGAACTTATTATTAGCTTTATTTATACCCCACAAAATCTCCCGAAGGACTCAATGCGGCTTACAAAGGCCAAGGCTGCCGACAACAACAACATACAATACACAAAAACTCATAAGCAAATAATAAAACATCAAGCAAAAACAATAAAACAATGACACAGTGACACAATTAAAACCAAGGCCGGGCCAAATGTAATGGACAAAGTTTAAAAAGTGCTGTCGTGACAGGTAATATGTGGAGGTATGTGGGTAGGAACAATGTGCAGATAATCCTAAATCTCTAGCAAGATGCATTTGGGACTTGAAACCAGGAGTTTCCTATTCTGGAAAGGCACACTGGAACAGCCAGTTCTTCAGGCGCTTCCTAAAGACAGCCAGCGTTGGGGCTTGTCTAATGTCCTTGGGGAGAGAGTTCCAGAGTTGGGGGGCTACCACAGAGAAGGCCCTATCCCTCGTCCCCACCAAACGCGCCTGCGACGCAGGTGGGATCGAGAGCAGGGCCTCTCCAGATGATCAGGGGGAGCGTGCGGGTTCGTAAACGAAGATGCGGTCATGCAGGTAGGCAGGTCCCAAACCATTTAGGGCTTTGTAGGTAAGCACCTGCACCTTGAATTGGGACCGGAAAATGAACGGCAGCCAATGGAGCTCCTTGAACAGGGAGGTTGACCTCTCTCTGTAAGGAGCACCAGTTAACATCCTGGCTGCCGCCCGCTGGACTAGCTGAAATTTCCGAGCTGTTTTCAAGGGCAGCCCCACGTAGAGCGAATTACAGTAATCCAATCTAGAGGTGACCAAGGCATGGACCACCCCGGCCAGATCAGCCTTTACGTGGTAAGGTCGCAGCTGGCGCACGAGTCTCAATTGTGCAAAAGCCCTCCCGGACACCACCGACACCTGAGCCTCAAGCATAAGTGATGAATCCAGGAGGACACCCAAACTGCGGTCCTGTGACTTCAGGGGGAGTGTAACTCCGTCCAGCACAGGTTGCCACCTGTGATATTACAATTAGTATTAGAGATTTATTTATTTATTATTATTATTATTATTATTATTATTATTATTATTGCTGTTGTTCTTATTTTCTATTTATACCTCCTAGGTTTTAATAAGTTGGGCATTGTTAAAAAGGTAGAAGTTTACCCAAAGGGACCAAGAAAGGCACACTGATGGGCAGACCAGCAGTATCTTGATTATTCTGTTGCATATGATGCACAAAGAAATAGCAGCAATCCTTGAAGAATAAGGAGAATATGACATGTTTGTTCCAGAGGCTTATTTTTGTCCTTGAGAACAACCAGAGTAAAAAAAAGAAAAGGTCAAGGTGTTCTTTTGCTGATCCCAAAATAAGAAGGCAAATTATTTTGGAGTAGAGGGAAGGCATGAAACACTCCTTGTCCGAGATAGACAATATGTATAAGCAGAAAAATAACACTAGATTCCAAAAGTATGTTAGGTTGTATTGAATAATATGTATCTGCTGTAAAACAAATGCATAACAAATGTATTAAACCATGATAAAATAATAAAAATATTTGGGAAAAAAACCACTCCTTGTCCTTTGCGTTCCACGGCTTTTTCGTAACTATGTTCATGAGGTTGATTTTAAGCCATATCGAGAATGGAGAAATATGTTCCATTTTCCATCCCTCTGTAACGGCATGAAGTATGTTCCCTTTGTCTGTATGGCAAGGTTCAACACAAGAGGGATCTTCCATTCTTTCTCTGTACTGGCACAGTTCATCCTCACCTTTTATGATAGGCTGTATACTGCATTTAAAATTAGGTTCTACTTGGCTCTGTAAAGTTATAGAGCCCAACACTGTCCCACAAGTCCTGAGAGTCGTACAAAATAGAAATAAATATGCACAAGGTCCCTCTCAGTCTTCCCTCCAGGAGCTTTGGCTGAGGTCACTTGCTTGCAACTCGAGAAACCATCCATTCTAGACCAGCTGGGAGCCCCTCTCCTGTAAGAGCACAACATCCTTGAATGTGCCATAGACGGTCTTTAATCGAGCTCAAGGTTAGGAACTTTGAGATCTCAGAGGTAGACATGGAATTTTTGATATCCTGCTTGTTGGCAAATATCAGCACGGCTGCATTACGAAGGTCCTTGTGCGCCAGGATCTTGTACAGCTCCTCTTTTGTCACGGTCAACCGTTCCCGGTCCGTGTTGTCGATCACAAGAATAACGAACTCTGTGTTGGAATAGTAGGTGTTCCAAGTCGACCTCAGCGTCTCTTGCTCACCAATGTCCCACATCAGGAAGTGGGTTTTGCGCAAGACAATTTCCTCCACATTGCTGCCAATTGTAGGTGATGTGTGGATAACCTCATTCATTAGGAACTGGTAGAGGATGGTGGTTGTCCAAATCAATAATAATCACCTTATGCTCTTGGCTTCCAAAGACGCTCAAGAGCTTTGCAAAGAGCTGACACATTACGAGCCCCGCAGCCTCATCCTATTTATACAACAACACAGCACACATGCACATGAGGTACATGTGTCTGGGATTCATCTCCAAATATCGGGCTCTTCCCAAGGGCCTGGGATATTAGAGGTATTGTTATTAGTATTAGAGATATTATTATTATTATTATTATTATTATTATTATTATTATTGCTGCTGTTGTTCTTATTTTCTATTGATACAACAATGCAGCACACATGCACATGAGGTACAAGGGTCTGGGATTTGTCTCCAAATATTGGGCTCTTCCCTAGGGCCTGGGATATTAGAGGTATCGTTATTAGTATTAGAGATATATTATTATCGTTGTGGGAGCCCCCGGTGGCACAGTGGGTTAAAGCACTGAGCTGCTGAGCTTGTTGATCGAAAGGTCGCAGGTTTGATTCCGGGGAGCGGAGTGAGCTTCCGCTGTCAGCCCTAGCTTCTGCCAACCTAGCAGTTCGAAAACATGCAAATGTGAGTAGATCAATAGGTACCGCTCCGGCATGAAGGTAACGGCGCTCCATGCAGTCATGCTGGCCACATGACCTTGGAGGTGTCTACGGACAACGCTGGCTCTTCGGCTTAGAAATGGAGATGAGCACCACACCCCAGAGTCAGACATGACTGGACTTAATGTCAGGGGACTACCTTTACCTTTTATTATCGTTGTTGTTGTTATTATTTTCTATCTACATAAAAACACAGCACACATGCACATAAAGTTCAAGTGTCAGGGATTCATCCCTGAATATCGGGCTCTTCTCAAGGGTCTGGGTTATTAGAGGTATTGTTACTGTATTAGAGAATTATTATTATTATTATTATTATTATTATTATTATTATTATTATTATTATTATCAGCATCAGCATCAGCATCAGCATCAGCATCAGCATCATTTATATAACAACCCAGGGTACATGCACATAAGGTCTAAGTGTCTGGGGTTTCCTTTTGAATATTGGGCTCTTCTCAAAGCTTGGAAGGGACCTCAAGGGCGATATAGTCCAACCCCTGCTGTGCAGGAATATACTATTAAAGCACTATTGGAAGATGTTTAAAAACCTCAAAAAAAAAAAGAAAAGCAGAGTTCATCACTAGCTTCTAAGGCAATCTATTGTACTGTTCAGCAGTTCTTAACAGGAGCATTACCATATATTCTCGAGTATAAGCCGAGTTTTTCAGTCCTTTTTTTAGGTTGAAAAAGCCCCCCTTGGTTTATACTCAAGCCAAGGTTATTTATTATTTTACTCTGTTGTTGTTGTTGTTGTTGCTATTATTATTATATTTTATATTTATTACTGTTATTATTACACTTATTATTTTACTCTCTTTATTATTATCATTACATTTATTATTTGAAATGCAAAGACACAGAATGGGGGACGCCTGGCTCAACAGTAGTAAATGTGAAAAAGATTTTGGAGTCCTCGTGGACAAAAAAGTTAAATGTGAGCCAACGATGTCATGCAGCGGCAAAAAAGGCCAATGGGATTTTGGCCTGCATAAATAGGAGTCTAGTGTCTAGATCCAGAAAAGTCATGCTACCCTCCATTCTATTCTGCCTTGGTCAGACCACACCAGCAATCACACTGTGTCCAATTCTGGGCACCGCAATGGAAGAAAGATGTTGACTCTAAGCTGGAATGTGTCCAGAAGAGGGCGACTCAAAGGATCAAAGGTCTGGAGAACAAGCCCTATGAAGAGCGGCTTAAAGAGCTGGGCATGTTTAGCCTGCAGAAGAGAAGGCTGAGAGGAGACATGATGAGGGCCATGGATCAAGAGGGGAGGGGAAGTCATAGCAAGGAGGGAGCAGGCTTCCTTTCTGCTGCCCTGGAGACTGGGATGCAATGGAGCAATGGTTTCAAACTACAGGAAAGGAGATTCCACCTG